AAGTAGAGAAAGAGTCAAGACTACATTAGACGGACAGGTCCCCTCGCGAGCTCCTGTCCAGTCGAGCAACTCCTACTCCTTCCCACGTGCTTCATCCCCTGAGCTCAGTATTTCGAACACGCACGACGCTCCTTTGGGCAGGTCCTCGATGCTATAGCTGACTCTTAAGTCATTACTCCTCTACTTCGTAACAACGACTTAGGGGGCTCCTATTCTGGACTAGGCCAAAGGCTTCCCCATTGTCGGGCACGACCTAACCCATTTCTTCGTCGGGGAGGGCCCAATGAGGGTCCAATTCACCATCTCACTTGGGGAGTTCTCACGCATCTCCCCCATAGTTTCCACGTGCTCCCCATGCGGGGACACATCATCAACCAACTACCTGCATATGAAAGAACAAGTCATCCACCTTTCGAAGTTCACAGGGCAGTTGGACCACGTGTTGGTCTTCTCTATGCCATGTAAATCCAGGAAGTTATCCACATTGGGCCTAATGATCAAACCCAATACAGATAACTGTTGGCGCAGCGCTGAGAGCACATTATAAATACCCTCTTTCACAAAAGGGTCAAGTATTCTATTCCCAATCTAGCTTTATGTATTTGCCATTCACTTACTCTGTTTCTTACTTTGGCATCAGTGTATCTTGCAGGTACATCCCCTCCTCTTCTCCACCACCGTCGAATTAAGGAGCTCACGACGTGTTGTTGGCCGTTGATTCTTTTCTGATCCGGTAAGATTAGTAAACAAATTAATTTATTAATATTATGTGTAAACAATGTAATGAATTTTATTTAAAAAATAACAAACTATATAACCCCTCAGTTTTAAATAAACTAAGATGTATGAGGCGTTGCTTTTATAAATTAAAATGCAGATGTTGAGGTTCGAACCCATGATCATATAACTTTATCCCTCAGTTTTTCTTTAATCGAAGTGTTAAGTGGCAACTTTTCATGTCACCATTCGTTACGTCGCCTTGGTAGCCAAAGTTACATTTCTTTCGATTGCGATGTTATAAGGATTATTTCTAATAGTGCTCTCTTTATTTATATCATTAGGGCTAGTTTGTTTCATATTTCTCAACATGCATGTTAATTTGTTAAGATCATCTGAGTCATGGTATTAGGATCATTTCATTAGCATTTGTCATGCATAGCATACATAAGGATTTGTTCTCATTCAATCAATAATGTAAAAAAGAAGAGGCAATGTAAAAAAGAAGAGGTCAAACATTAGTTTGATACCTTGCATCCCTAAGAATCGTCCATCATTCATATTTTGAGGTTTGTTCATTAGCATAATTAGGGTTTCATTTAAGGTTAACATGTGTCCTTATGGTTTTTTTTTTCTTTTTACCCATTCTTTCTCTTTTGATGTTTCTAGTAGGGGTCTTAGGGTTTATTTATTGCATTTCTATGTCTTACTTCCTTTGATCATTGCATAACATCATTATAGTTAGAATGAATGTCACAAGAAGAATAACTTGTGAGCCAAGTATCATTTTTGTTGACCTAGTTTTGGTGTTTCGTTTATGGATCAGTTCTATTCCTTCTCCTTGTCATCATTAGCAAGAAAATAAATAAATAATAAGACTCTTGAATAAGGCATGGATGCAAAATGTTGGTAAAAGAACATTTGTCAATTTGGGACAATTGTGAATGTGAATATTTCATTTGTAGTAATTTCATTGGAAGTTACAAATTTGTCTACAACATGAGAATGCTTGAATTGCCAAATACCAAAAGCTACAACATGACCAATATTCAAGTTCTTTACAAGTTTTTACAAGATACACAAAGAATGTTACAAGTTGTTTGAATCTTAAGAAAGATCTAAACCTAGTGAACCACAAGCCAATGGAGTTTCCTCTTCTAATTGCCAAGCCATTCCCTCGAATTTGCTTTTCATTTTTTTCACCATGGTCCTTCATCTTGCAGGCCAAGCACATAATCTACAATACATTAAAAAAACCCACATGAATGTCAAAAATTCAAAACAAAAAAAAGTAGATTGAAATTTAAAGCAAACATGTGAAGAGAACCATCCATCAATACAAACCATGACCATGTATTCAACAAGGAAGCAGACTCATGTAAACATCATGGAGTATATACATACTCTTAACCAAGGAAATTGGAAGCAAGGAACACTATCAATAAATATCACATTTTTACATAGCATCCACTATGTTTTAGCAAAAAAAAATAGCACACTAACATCAGAAGAAAGAGTGAAGAACATAAGATTATCCCTTTTTTGTGCTTTCAGTTACCCATTTCACTTGACATAAGATCTCTTTCATTTTCGTTTTGAACTTTAGTGAAGAACATGAGATTATCCATTTTGTGTGTTTTCTGTTACCCATTTTTAGTTTTTGATTTATAACTTTACTAAGTTTGAGTTGTGGCCACAAATAACTATAATTCCCTCTTATACTTGTGATTATATGTATATTGATATAAAATATTACAAATTTATGATTAACTAAATCTTAATGAAGAAATGTTTCATACTGCTGCTACAAGTAATACACGTTTTTTCCGAAGGACTACTCGAACTCTTAGATCCAGATAATTGGTATAAAATGTGTTTAAATATTAATTCTAGTGGTGAGTTTTCATTTCACAAATTACCCTGAAAGGGACTTATATTACAGATTATAATAGACTTGAACTTGAAATTATATATATGAGCATTTTATTTGGGCAGATGGAGCATGGATAAAGTAGTAGTCAAAGAACTCAAACAACCATAGAGTAACATCCACTAAATTATAAGTGTATTCAACTTGTTTTATATCGTGTTTGAAATTTAAAAGTTATTTCTTTGTTCTATATTTTGTATGAAAAATATTTTCTTACCGTTTATATGCAAATGCCAGTATATGTTCCATTACAGTTTGTATGCAATGTTTGTTGTCTAAGCTTTCTTAAAAATTATGACAATTGTTTGAACTATGTGACAATGAGGTTCAAGTGAAACATCTAGTGTTTCAAAATGATTTTCTAAATGAAGTGAAAAATGATAGGATTGTTTATCAAATTTAACATTCATTTTAAGTTCTAACAAAATTAAACAGGATGTCTTTGTATTTCTTTGAATCTATGTGTTATATGAATCAATGGAAGTCTCTTTCTTTGAGTTTTCAGTTAAGAATTGCTAAAAAAAGTTTGAAGATTTGTCCAAATACACGCACATAGTTTATTTAATCTCTTAGAGTTATTTTAATTTAGTATTTTGTGATAATTTTGTTATTGTTATTTATTCAAATTATACTACCTCTATTTTTTATAATAAAGTTGTTTTGAGGGAAAAATTTTATACTATACTATAAGTTAGTTTTATAATTTCGATAAATCATTAATGTTATTTTTACTATTATACTATATTTATTATTCTCTCTCCTATCAATTATGTAAATTTATCTTTTTAATATAATTAATAAGGACAATTTTGTAAAACTTTTTATTCTATCTTACAATTATTATATTTATAATAAAATAATAAAAAAAACAAAGGAAGTACATTTTTACAATTTTGTTAAGGCCTGTTAATGTTGAAATTTCAGGTTTACTGCTAATCACTTTTTGAAGAGCTAATGGATATATTTGTGTCTTTTGAATTAATAAATAGAATTGTTTACTTTATTAGATTTTAAATAGTTTTAAATCTATATTAAATTTTCAATTTTCTTTGATTTGGGCATTTAAGTTTTGCTAATGTACTAACTAATAGGTGTAATTGGCTATCTTCACTACAAGAAAATTGTCAAATTACGACGGTTCATTTTGATAGATTACGACGGTTTTAACCGTCGCAAGTTGTAAGTTACGATGGTTTCAATCCCGTCGCAGAAATGTGCGTCGCGAGGCCGTATTGCAACAGTTGTGAAAATTGTCGTACAAACCGTCGTTATTTTCACGACGGGTAGCTAACTGTCGTAATCTTCATATTGTGACGGTTTTCAACCGTCTTAACTTGCTTAATGATTTTTGTTTTGATTGTTGATTGCGAAAGTATATTGTGGCGGTTTGAACCCCCGTAACTTTCAAATTTATTTAAAAAAAACTATGGTATATTGTGGCGGTTTGAACCGCCGCAAGTTGCAAATATTTTTTTTATAAAAAAAATTTGCACTCAGTTTAGGATTCATAATACAGCTATTGTAGGTTACATTAATGGCAATCATCAATATTCATGATATTCACACAATAAACACTAACATAAAAAAGTTTTCAATCATTAACCTTGCGTTCTCTAATTTTTTAACCACATCACACATAGCATGTATGATAAACAGTAATAAATTATGCTTGCTGTAAGAAAGAGAAGCTAAAGATCAGAAAAATCATGTTTCCAATCCTTGAAAAATAAAAGTTATTTGCTATGTTTCTGAGTAATGTTACAATTCTGGACTGTTAGTACTAGATAGGGCATAAAATTGAAATTACAAGTGTTTTTCCATTACAGATGTGATGATTGTGAGGAAGTATGAGAACTGCTACAAACAAAGATGGAACTGAACCACTTTATTTTCGAAAGTGAAAATGTGGAATAACTAGCTTTTTTTATCAAGGAATGAACTTTGATTAATAAAAAATCAAGGAATGAAATCGGGGAGGGTATCCTTAAATCCAGTAGCTGTGGGATATTAATACTCCATGTTAACAAGAGCTAGGAATGTATTCTTCACATTTTTGTTTTGACAAGGTAACAAAATTCCTTATGAATACATAATAACATAGTATTAAGGTTGATATTTGAATTATTGCTCAAAGGGAAACTGATATGAATCGTAAGTGTAACACTAACATCTATTATTATATCCAGTGTCTCCTTGGTATAAATAAAAACAATACATATTGATGTGTCAGAACATTTGCAAGTAACAATAACAATGTAAAACATTTTTGCATTGATGATACATACAATGACAAGAGTTAGGTTTTCAGAGCAACTCTGGCAAGGCCATGTGAGATATATTAATCATACTATTGTTACACCATGGCAAGAATACCAGAAAATACCTTGAAAATGATCAATAAGAAAGATTTATAAATGTCATGGAGCAAACCTGTAGCATCCAGAGCACGGATTGCCTCGCAAAATACTTTGGTTCTTTCTTGTCGGCGCGTCAAATTAGTTGAAGTAGTAACTGGAAAGGTTGTAAGTTGAGCAATCTTGGATAAAAGATGTGCATCAAGGTTAATAAACTAACAGTGGAAATTAAAAAACGCAGAAAGCCAATAGAAAATGAGACAAAATGTTGAGTTGAGAGTCGGGAAATTAAAAACACACTTCTTAATATTATTTTCAAATAAATAAAGTTAAGGATATAATCTCTAAGTTGTTCTGTTGTATGAGGTACTACAACTACCAACGCGTGAATGACAGCAATAATAGCTTCATGGGATCCATCTTCAATAAAAGTACCCATTAGAACATGTATCTTGTCAACTATCTGCAAGATATCATATTCTTAGTCGGGATTTTAAACGTTTAGTCATCATTAACTTTGAACCAACAAAACCCAAGAATGACAGCATCAATGCTAGCACACTTCACATCAAGGTCTTGCTCAGATCCGAGAGTAACTAATGCAGGCAAAGCATGAGTAGAGACAACCTTTGCGTTAATATGTGGAACCTAATAATGAAGTCCTCTAAGTTAGTGCTGCCATTAATATGAGATTTAAATAAAAACTAAGAAAGTAGTAAGCTTACAAGAACTTTTAGAAGTTTGGCAGCGGTTTCTTTCATGTTTATATTAGAGCTAACAACCATTTCCTACAGTATTTCAAATATCATACCCTGGTTTTCTTCATATATGTTGCATTACAAATAGAGCTCATGAGCAAAATTGGCAAAAGGACCTCAACCAATTTTGAAAATATAAATAGAGTATTAGTGGGTATACAGACCAAATGAAGCGGATTGCATTAATAATTTCAGGTGTATGCTTGGTTGATGTATTTTCCTTAGAATTGTCTTCTAGTAGCAGCTTTCTCGAGTAATCTGTTAATTCTTTGTGTTTTCCAGACCCACCCAAAACACCAGCTAACAAAAGTGGTAGGACACATGATGTAGAGAGCCTCTCAGCAACAGAAGATTTTGGTCTCAAACATACAAGAAAACAGTCAAAAAATAAAGCAATTCTGTAAAACTTCACACAAAAATTGAAGAATCATAACCTTTTATTCTTGAATGAACGACACTAGGAAAAAATGTTAAGTCAGCATCATCCCCAACTGCTGTTAAAAATATACGGAGCATTATGCATGTAACATAAGTATCCCCAAACCTTTCAGAAACAGATAACAGAAACTGCAATTGTGAAACTTTGATCAGAAATCATTCAGTTGCTTTTGCAACTAAACATACAACACAAAATAAAAAACCAGAAAATGTAACTGATTAACCTTTGAAATTCGTCTTCGCAAATTGTCTTCTTTCCAGGGTAACAAGCAAGCCAACTGTATCAGTTTAGAACACTCAACATGCACCCATTCAAATGCATCCCATTTAAAATTTCCCCTAGCAAATGTTGAACCAATCAAGGTCAATAGTATGGACATTGTGATCATGCATAATTTATGTTTTAGCATATACCACCTATCCGTCCATTCACTTCACCCTTTTTACACAATATTCCAACCAGTAACTAATGCGTTGAAGGGAAAAATACAACATTCGAGAGCCCGAGATCAGTTCAATCAATTATTTCATGTCCTATAGTTTCTACATAATAGTGCAAATTGAATAGTTTAAGTCAAGCTTACCTTGCATATAATTCAAGCAATGTAGTAAATAGCACAAATTGTGTAGTTTCTATGCTGGACAAGAAGGGGCATGTTTCAATTGCTTTCTGGTATACGAAAGAAAGCAAATCCTTCAGCATTGTCAATAGACCATCTATATTCCAGCGCTCTCTTTCGCCTAACACATGTAGATATGACTCTATACACCCTTCAACTACAGAAAGCGGTGGACAGTGCTGCAATTCCAGGAACAAAATTTTACTCATAAATAAGTGCCAAGGATGAAGTTATGGGTCACAAAGGAACATTGAAGGCATAAAGGAAAACCAATACCTAAGCAGAGCTGAAAATATGAGAGAGTAAAACCCCTAAAACATGGTCTAATTTGTTTCCCCACTTTACAACTGCAGGAACCATCTCTTTGAGTGTAGTTTCCACCACCACTCCTGTGGGATCACATATCAATTGGAACATCAAATCCTCAACCTAACAAAAAATAAAACAAAGAATTGGAGAAACTCTTTATCTTTATTCTTTTTTTATTAGAAAAAGAAAGTGTCTTAATTTTATGGTAAGGGTATAAAGCTCCATTCCCTCCCGTCAACCTGTCTCTGAGCTTACATTGCAGCCAATTCTCTCAAGTTAGAAATCTTCTCCATGATTGCCTCGAAGCATATATAGTGAAGCTAACCTTGAAATATTTATCCGTGTTTGGGAAAAGCGAAAGCAGCTTAGCCAAATTATGAGTTGCAGCCTCTCGAACAATAGTGGCAGAATCTTCTATTAGTTGTTGCACAATTGATAAAATAAGAGAATCGTGAATCTCAAGGTGTACAAATTCTGCTAGCTCTCCACATGATTGAGCAACAAGCAGTCTACATTCCTCGTACATGTGACTTATCTGAAATCCATTACACAGAAAATCTGAAAAAAGGATTTCAAGTTATGATGGCCAGGAGTAAGCCAAAAATTAAAGTTAGGATATACTTGTTCCCAACACTGAGGAAGCAATTCTGTTTCAGTTCTCATCTCTCCAACATTCTTTGCAAGGCTTACACATGCCTGAAACGATCATAATTGTATTGAAAACCAGATTGTTTAATAAACTAAAAAGAAGTCAAATCAACTTACATCCATTATTATCCGTCTTTGCTGTTCATCAGGACGCTTTATTAAATTAAATAATGTGTGGGTCAATGAATCCTGAGTCCTGCTATATTCCATTTAAACATTAACTTCCAATGTAACTAATTCATGTTCCTAACTAAAATTTAAAAGCATTAATACTTTAGCCAACATTCCAATCAAGTGGTCCTTAATAGTCTAACACCAAACCAGTTTATTCTCAGAGTAGTTTATTTAGCAAGATAACACTAATACATCACATTCCAACTTCAATCTACTTCAAATAATAGTTCCTAGCAGTTAATTGTGAACTTCTTAATTCACTCTAACCTCAACTAACTTCAAGTTCAAACTCTAACTGCACTTAATAGAGGTTTAACATTGTTAACAAACTTCTAACGAATTCCTTCTTTGAACTCCATTTAATCTAACCCCACTCTAACTGTAATAGACCTACCCAATCCTTGCCCTAATCGGTTACACAATCTCCCATATATAATCTCATCACTTCACACTCTTCAATCATCTACAATCATTTCCATAAATTTTTTTAACTTATAGAAAACAACTGAGATAGATCACTTATTATTATACACGTCTTTGCCTCGTACAAAGTGATCGATGATTTTTCAAAAAGAATTAATGAAAAAGAAAAGTTATATCAAAAAGAAAAAATTTACATGAACACCAAATGCTGAGAAAAGTTATAGCAGATGTCGAGAAATCCAACTGTTGGATAAAGTGTTCCTTTAATGACATATGTAAATAAAAGGTACAAGATTATCATAATTATCTATGTGCATGTCATCCAAACTGTCTGCAGAATCATTCTCGTCCTGCAAATTGTCAACACAGCAGAGTTATGGGATGGATCCTTGGATTGCCAAATATTGTTTAGCAACCAAGAAACAGTAACCAGGTGTAGCTGTTGGTCTGGAACAAGCACTACAATGCTAAAGGAACAAATTTGACCTGACACAGTGGTTCCACAAAGGGAAACCATAACTTCCCATGACAAAAGATGCAAATCTTCTTAAAGGTAATGGACACACGAATCTAAAATAACTAGAATGATAGAATTGACTTAAAAAATCATATAACAGTGGAGAAGAATGTTTAATTTCTATAGTCACATGTTGTTTCATTTGACCCCATCCAAACTCTGCATTAACCAATTTTTATATATTTAATTGTTTGAATTAGAATGCTTTTATAATAAACATTCTACATTATAGTGTTCTATATGCATCAGTTTTTATACCCTCACAACTACTAAAATAAAAACAGTGCATATCAATAAAGCCATCATCATATTGAGGTAATAATAATAATAATACATATCTTGGATTAATGTTCTTTAATGCTCATACACAATTTCAGGAAAAAACCTTTGAAGGAGCAGCTTGGAGAAGAATTGATTCCACAGAGAGGTGGATACTGAGAGCTGGATACCGACTGAAGAACACCCGGAGCTACCTTCTCTTCACTATAAACAAAAACACAAAATGATGATATTAGCGAGTTTCGTACTAACACAGTCATTCAAAAATGTTGTGGATTCCGATTTTGTCTTCACTGATACATCCACGAAGGGGTTTTGTGACAGAATTTGAGAGAAAGATAAGATCGGGAAATTGAAAGATGCCGAGGGATTTAGAGGTTAAATTGGAGAAGGAATGATTAAAAAGGAATTGAAGGTCTAATTGAAGATGGTTGAGTTTAGGGTTTTGAGATTTTTCAGAAACCGTTTGCGAGAAGAAGAAAAAGATGGGGTCCACAAGTTTCACTCACCAGCTCGGTAAACATTTTCGATGAAATGGATAAAGACAATCAGGCTTAGAAATGGAGCAAATGCCAAACCGTAAACTCTTGTACTATTGTAGTTGTTTTTCTGAAATTTTTTTAAAATATTTTTTTAAAGCTTAAACATGTTTTTAATCTATAATTTATAATTTATAATGTATTTATAATCTCCATATATATATATATATATATATATATATATATATATATATATATATATATATATATATATATATATATATATATATATATATATATATATATATATATATATATATATATATATATATACATATATATATATATATACATATATATATATATATATATACATATATATATATATATATATATATATATATATATATATATATATATATATATATATATATATATATATATATATATATATATATATATATATATATATATATATATATATATATATATATATATATATATATATATATATATATATATATATATATATATATATATATATATATATATATATATATATATATACATATATATATATATACATATATATATATATATATATACATATATATATATATATATATATATATATATATATATATATATATATATATATATATATATATATATATATATATATATATATATATATATATATATATATATATATATATATATATATATATATATATATATATATATATATATATATATATATATATATATATATATATATATATATATTAACATTG